ACCAGAAATTACATGTTTCTGTTTTAAGGAAAACAGGAAAAAATAAATTAATTGAGTTTTTGATATTCAGGGGGTCCGGTGGTTCAATCCCTGGGCCTGCCGTCCTGGCCATGCCCCCAGGGCACTCTGAGACAGCAATTGAGATTGGGCATGGTGGCATGCGCCTGTAATTCCAGCTCTTGGGAGGCTGTAAACAGGCAGATTGCTACGAGTCTGATCTATGTAGTGAGACCCTGAACGCCCTGTAGACCCTTCCCTAAAAAGCAAAATAAATAAAAAATTAAAAAACAAAATAAAAAATATTCAGGGGAATTTTCTAGATTTAAAAAAGAAGGTTGATTAAAGGATGGCACTTAGAAGATTATGCCCCTAGATTTGCTCTCCAAGGCAATGATTTAATTCTATTTTATTTCTGCTGTTATGAATATTTTGACCCCAAGAGCCTACCTTGCCTCTGATGGATTATCACACTGAAAAACAGGGAAATCACACACACAGAAAAAGACAAACGCAAGGTATTTCCCAACTAACAGTAAGCAAGTATGTTGTTTTCGTATTCAAGGATCAGCTTATAAGCTAGAAAGTACTTGGAATAAAACCTACTTTGCCCAAAATGAAAGAGAGAATAGGCTTCAAAGTGAATCAATCCTTTTTTGTTCCCCTGACTCTGTTAAGTAAAATCAATTAACTTTTTGGGGTATCACCATTTTAGAAATAAAGGCACTATCAATCTCATAAAGTTCTAATGACATAATGTCTGTAAAAATCAGTGATTAGTTTTGATGTATGATATATGCCCCTGAACATGAACCACTATTATTAATTCCTATGATTTCTCTGAGGTTGAAATATATAAGTACTTATGCAAAATTTAAAACATGGCTATTACCTATACAGTATTTATAATAAATAGATTTTTAAATCTACACTATTCTTTAAAACTTATAAGTTATCTCTTACAAATATTAGTACACTTATTGAAAATTTATAAGATTGTTATTAAATGACATATATTATATTTCTAAAAAATTAACATTGAATCTATATCTTAAAATGAGTCCTTGGAATTCTTTATTAAAATGAGAAAAAGGGAAATTCCAGAGTTTAGAACTGCTGTTACAAAATTAGTAAAATATAAAATGAAAGAATGACATAAAATCAAAAACAGGTACAATTGATTAATACAAACTACATAAAGCAATTAGCATGAGTGATCCTTTAAATGGACAGATGTAGATGCAAATTTCTGAATTAGATGATCACCTGACTTAGAGAAAACACAAACGATATTTTTACACTTAATCAAACTCAGTAAAACTTGAACAAATAGAAGAAATATATTTATGAAAGAGCTAAAATAGCAGCTGTGATTTATATATCCATGTAGGAGTAGATGAAAATTTCAGAGTACATATCTTTTATGAGAAATTATGAACCAAATAAAATTATTTAGTCTTTCATTTGTGCTGATAAAATCCCAAGACTTTACTCAAATATTTATTGAAATATTCCCATACATGTATGATTTTTGTCAAAATACATGTGTGATATTTTGTCAAAAGATAATAAATTCCCTTTCCTCAAATTTCTGTTTCTTTCTTTCTTTCTTTTTTTTTTTCATACTGGAAAAGTAGCTTGAATCTAATGCTTCTTGAGGAAATATCTCCTTTTAAAAAGATTTCAATTTAATATACAAGAAATTAAATCTTCCTGAAAAAGAGGATAAAGGAGTTAGGATTTTAACTCCTCGGCTAAAAAGAAAAAGGATATCAGAAAGCCATTTACTTTTCTTTATACTCCTGATTAAAGCCTTCCTCCTAACCTTCATTATAAATGGAGTGCATTAATCCTTAAGCTGTTTTTAAACAATTAACATTAGCCTTCTTCAATCCCATCCTTGGTTCCCTTGAAAAGCAATAGCTGATTTCTATTTATTTAGCGTAATGGATCAGTATTTCATTTTAAATCAAATCCTATAAGCTTGTCTCTATTTTTGTGAGATATAAATGTCATGCTCATCTCCATACATAATGCCATGACACAGAGAGATCACAGTTGTAAAATAACATTCTTTAGCAAAGTAATTTGAAGTCACTAATACAAGGAGTAGATGCACAGACCATTTTACAAAACACATTCCCATACTGCCTGGAACAATCAAAGTATTGTCTATAATATCTCATTCTGCTGAAATAGAATTTATAGAATCATAAATACATGGTATGTGGTTCCTTAATTTAGGCAGTTAAGGACGCCAGATTAACGAGCCTTTGAGTCCTACTTGTAGAAAGCAGTAGACATTTCAGTCATTTGCATGGTTTCATACATAGTTAAAAAAATACAGCAATACTACACATACTGACTTTTGGAATATATGCTCGGTGACTTCTTTTCCACATGAAAACTCCTCTGGGTTGTTCGATGAGACGGTATTGAGTATCTGTAACTGCTGTTCTTTTCAGTGCAACAAAAAACACAAGAGAACAGTGCCCCTGAAGCAATCAGCACCAGCGCTGTGGTCCAGCCTATGTAGAGGGCTTCTCCAAGCTCACGTTTCTGGCCAGGGTTCACTACAGGGTTGTAGAAGTTTCGAATGATGGAGTTAGCCACCCAGGACACAGGGATGAGCACCACAACGCCTGTGATGATGAAGAGGATTCCAGCCGTCAGCAGGATGCGACTCTTCACACTTTCATCATCCCCAGTAACTCTGGTACACTTCATGCCTAGGATGGCAGTCATGAAAGCCAAGAAGGACAGCACAGAAGCAGCGCACATCAGTCCTCTGGCTGCCTGTAGGTCCGGAGAAAGGGCGAGCAGAGAATCATAGACTTTGCATTGCATTCTGATGTTGGCATGTCGTATGCAATTCATCCAAAGTCCTTCCCAGATGTTTTCAAACACCACGATGTTGCTCCCAATGAAGGCCGACACTCTCCACTGAGGCATGATGGTAACAGCCACTGTGCCTATCATGCCAATACCACCAAACACCAAACCAGCTATCTGCAAAACATAGGAGGCCATTCTCCTCTTGGATGAGATTTATCCAACTGGAATCCCACGGTGACAGTGGTGCTTGAGGGCAAAGTTCTTTGCACTGCAGAGAGAACAGTTTTCCTTTAGGAACAATGAACTCAGAAGCCAATGTTTCCCCAAATAAAGACTGTTTTGCTTCGAGCAAGGTAAAACCTAGCATTGACTGATGAGGTGCCCCCTCTACTGACTCCAACAGGTAAGCTTGCGAATCAGGTAGGACAACTTTCTTGTCCACTAAGAGGGGGAGGGTAACTCAGGTGTGTCCAAAGGAAAGAAAGACACATAAACATTCTTTGTACTGCTCAGTTTTCCAAGGAGACATCAGTATGTTTACCTATAGTCATAATCATGAACATTTGCACAGTCATGGAATGAGCCAATCTCTGGCAGCACTAACAGTGTCCCTTACACAGGTAATTCTAAACTCTCAGTAAAAGTTGCTTTGGCGGAGGCATAAAATCAAATATCTGTGAAAGAATCTCCAAGAACTGTTAAAATGCCAAAAGGGAAAGAAGAGGAGGGGACTGGTATATTGTTCATACCTGGGCAACCACATTCTTTGAGACACATGTGATCCAAGGGGTTGATTTAATTTGTCCACAACTTCAAAGTAAGCTCTCCTGAAGTGAGATCAGGCAACAGATTGTGCCAAAACCAGCGCAAGCCTAACGTAATTGAATACCCGAGGTTGTCTTCCTCCTTGGCACAAAACACACAGTGTGTTCATCTAAGCCAGGAGAATTACTCGTTGGTATTTTTCTGATAATCTTGACTTAAGAGAGAAAAATATGCAGAAATGAAAAAAGTCCAGCTGACCTATTGAAGTAACAAGCACCGCAGCACTGAATGAGGTGGTTTGTCGCTTGCTAACCTCGTAGTTTACTTGAGGTTCAATCCTTGCTACTTTGTTTTCCTAAGCTGAAGTAACTAGAATTTTGCAGAAGGTTAAAAAGTCTAGGTCTTAGCACATATTTCTAAATGCAGTGCTCGCAGGACAAGGCAGCTGTATTCACTGGACTTAGTTATATTAGGCAGCAAAAATACCTTCCTTTAATACCTAAAATACCTTGTCTCCTGAGGACCCAGCATGCCCTGAAAGAAAGCCCATTTGAATGATGTCTTCTCACAGTAATGATGACCACAGTGATACCAAAATAAACATAAACAATGTTTGGGGAAAATTCCACTAGCAGTTTTCTTCTGGAGATTATCAGGGGCTCTCTGGTCTTTCTGAATTTTAAGTGTATTTTAATTTCCATTCACTTGACTATGGTGACATTTTTCTTTAAGATTTTAGTTCCTTTTATTTCTTGCTAGTACTACCTTAAATCCAAATACATAGATGGGGCAGAATGTTTTCCAACATTCTTATTATACTTATTGTATTTTGAGAGTTTAATAGTCCAAAGCTGAATGATATAGAGAGATAACTGAAATAAAAACTGCAGATGGGGAGGAGGGAAAGGTAAAGTTTCCAAAGTCTTCAAGAACCACAAAAAGACCTAAATAAACTCAAAACAAATACAGAACATATTCTAGATCTAATTGTTGTCATTTTATTTCACTAAATATTTTTTAAAAGAGAATAAACTAAAGTTTTGACTTTCAGAGCTAAATTGATAGGTTTTCCTTATCCTAATATAGGAAATAGCTAGCATTTTTTTTCATCAGGTTTGTATCAGTTACAGAGGTTTGGTAGCAGTGCAAGTAATCTACAGAAAATAATTCTGCAATCTTCAAAAGGAGAGTAGAAAATAAAGCCCCAGGCAGTTTCTAAGCAATCTTACAAAAGGGAATAGCCAGCACAATTTGAAAAATGAAAAAGGAATGAGACAATGACTGATAGAGTAGATATATTTTAAGGACATAAGGAAATATATTAACCCATCAAAATTTCTCTTCTCAGTTCCTGGGTGACAGATGTCCTAAGAATTCTGATTAAATATTGCTGAGTATCTATATCAAAATGGGAACAAAACAGGTGTCCATAAATCTGAATGCTTTGGCTTTTATGAAGCCACTTTTCAAAATATTTATTGGCTTTGAATACAGCCTAACTTCACTTTCCTTAAGCACTGAGCTTTAACAGGAATTCATTTATTTTTTTATTTTTTTATTTTTTGCGGAACCAGGGATTGAACTCAGGCCCTTGCGCTTGCCAGGGAAGCGCTTATTCCACTGAGCCATCTCGCTGGCCCCAATAGGAATTTATTTCATGCAAAAAATAATGTCATCATTTCAAAAATACAATGTTCTCTGTTACTGAAATTTTCCTAGTCAAAAGATTAGAATCTGTATGAGAAGTAACCTAAAATTCACGTTAGAATAATTGTAATGTTAACTGTCCTAGTAAAAAATAACCTAGGGCGTCCACATAAGACACACAATGGTATAGTTAATACCATAAAATTTTGAAATAACCCATGCCCTAAAGGTTATAGAAATGAGATAGGCAGGGAAAAACTGGCAATATAAAGTTTACCAGAGCAAACAAAGCTTATATTCAAAGATAAAAATAACAAATTGTTTAGACTCTTTTCGCCCTCCTGAGGTGATTAATTTGGCTGCAAAATTCAATTCAGGAATTTTGAATTTTGATTTCACTTTGAAATCAAATTCAGGTAGAAGTAATAGGAGGTTTGGCAGATTAACAATATTTTCATAGTTCTTTAAATTAGAATTACAAAGCAACCTATGTAGATTATTATATAATATTTTATTCATTTTCATGAAAAACCAATAGACTACAAAGAAGCCCAAAAAGAAGCAAAGGCTCAGTCACCCATTGCACCTCCTCTCCGAGGGGCTCCCTTTCCCCTGTGTTAGTTCTAGTAGTTTGGGATCTAGGCGTCCACAGACTCACCCTCACCAGGCCTGTGTCTCTCAGATGTAGAAAGCAGAAGAGTCAGAGAAGACCATTCCAAAGCGGAAGTAATTTTATCTCATAGGTGCTGTGGGAAGCTCACGGAGACACTGAGGGAGGAGCCACAGCAGGGGCAGGGCGTTCAGAGCCAAGATTGGCAAATCTGTGGTGGTGGCTCTGTTTTATGGGGTTGGGGTCCTACCTCCCCCTCTGTGTGTTGACACCGAGTGATTGGCTACTGTGCTTGTTGCTAGGCATTTGTTCTTGTGGGTGAATAAGGAAACTTCATATTGTTCCTAAAATTACTTGTATTGCTGTATTGTCTCTTGATCCACTATCCTATTCCTCATTTAAAGTCAGATATTTATTGTTTTCAGTTCTCAAATGCTCTGTATTTATTAATAGTCATTCTTTTCTGCTACTTTTGTGTGGACTATTTTCAGTTGCTGCTCCAAAAGAACACATTCCTAAATCAGGAAGAGTAACACACATCAGTAATCCCAGCACTGTGGGACATTCAGGTGGGAGGATCATGAGTTTGAGCCCAACTTGGACCACTCAGCAAATTAGTAAGATCTTGAAACAAAATAAAAAATAAAGAAGGTCTAGGGATATAGCTAGACCCTGGATTTAATCCCTGTTATATCAAAGCAAAGCAAAGCAAAGCAAAGGAAAACAACAAATTCCCAGGTAGGAATTTTGTAATTGTATTAGCCTGTTCAAGCTGATTTCATAAGTTACTACAGACTAGTTAACTTGAATAGCAAACATTCATTTCTCATGCTCTTGATGTGGAGAATGAGAAGTTTAAGAGCAAGTTTCCAGAATGGTAGAGCTCTAAAGAGGCCCAGGTTTCTAATTGCCACATGGTTATCTTTCTGTTCTCTTGTTACATGCCAGAGAGAGAGACTAAGCTCCAGTCTCTTCTTCTAAGGGCACCAAGTCATCATGCAAGCCCCAGGGTTGTGGCCCCACTTGAACCTAGTTGCCTCTCCAAAGCGGGACTCCCAAATACCATGGCATTGGCAATGTGAGTTTCAGTGCAGGAATTTTGAAGACACAAACATACAGGCCCCAGTGGCTCACAACTTAAGAGATCTAAGCAGTTCAATTTGTGTAATTCTGAAACATCTGCTTTTATTGCCTCAGGATTTCTCCCCTATTAGATATTATACCTCTTTTTCCCCAAGATTTTTTTTAAAGCTTGTGAAGATAACTAAAAAAGAGACAATGGGAATGGTGACTATTAAAGATGTTCTTATCTTTATTCTAATTTTCATTGCCTTTTCAGAAATTAAAATCTGACCACATGATGAAGTTTTATGTGTTCTGCAGGACTCATCTAGAGAGAGGTTTTACTGAGTTTGTATTTTTGATTCCTCCAATAAGGAACTGAAAAGCCATGGAAATAACTGAATAAAAGGATATGTATTGTGGGAAATTTTTTTGTCTGAATTTTTTTTTTCCCAAAACCTTGTGCTTGCCAGGTAAGCACTTAAGCCACTGAGCTATATTCCCAGCCCTTTTTTCTGTCTAAATTAATAAAAAATTTGTAGAGATGGAATTGATATAAAACATCCTAATTCTAATTATTTAGGGAAAATTTTTAAAGGAAGTACAATTTTCTGATCAGATAGTAGCTATGGAGTACCGAACATTCTCTTTGGTATAAATTCTTCGTATTAGTATACCATATTTTTAAAATAGTCCAAGCAAGCAGAGGACATTCATTAGCTTCCATCTGTAATTGAATAAAATAAAATTCAAGAGAAATGAAAATTTTAAAGTCATGTAGATATTGCTCGTTAAACCTATAGAACTGAAACATGAAATTCACATTTCTTTATTGGTTACTGTAGCTCCTCAGAGAGGACCAAAGTTAAAGGAGAAACAAATTTTGCTCAGTTTTTTCTTGTGTAGCACATTTTGATAAATAATTTGTATGATTTTTACTTGAAATAGCTAATTCACTGTGCTTAAAAATACTTTTTAGACACCATTCAGAACGGTGTAAGCTATACAGATCCTGTGAGCACATCATAGCTCCTCCTCATTTAGAATCTAAGTCTTCCAAGCTGAAAGTATTTTAGGCACCCTTGTGTATCCATGTTCCTTCTTGTTCTGACTTGCTAGTGTCCTCAGTTATGTTGTAGATCATGACACTTAAAGAAATGACCAACACAGAATACATATTTTGTTAAAGTAAGTCTGTCGCGCGCTTCTTGACCAGCAGGAAAGATGCAACACACAGCTCTTCCTTCAGCGGTTTATTCAGGCCCTTGATTACAAGCTTCTTCTTTTCCAATCCCCCAGCCCTTGGCTAATATATACTCCCGAGCCCAATCCCAGTGTGC